GGCTTGAGAAGCGGCGGTCCTTCTAGAAAAGGAAGCGAGAACAAGGAAAGCTCATGGCGACAGTTGCCTTTAACATGTTTCAGACAAACACACAGTTTTCTTGGACTTCATATGTATACGGAAGGACCCTCTTATCCACTGAACCGGTATCTGCTGATTCACTTATCCATGGTCTGAAAATAATAAAAATTCTAAAAGAAAAAATGTGAAACATTTAATTCTAAAGGTGAAGTCATGAGAAGTGACCACTATATGGAGCCAGAAACTATACTATGTATATAGCATAAAATAGTGTTTGCTATAATCTGTGTTTTTCAGCATCCGTGGTGGGCTCTTGGAACTAATCGCCTGGAGATAAGGGGGGTGCTACTGTATTTGTTTACCATTACAGCTTCACTGTAATTTTTGCTATTTTCTCCAATACAATCGTATTTTAATTTTCCCGTGTGCAGGAAAAACTCCCACGTGAACTACTCTGCATGGATGGGATATGGTCTGCCCAGTCTATGTCAAGATGCAGCAGTGCCAGCGTTCAAAGCTCCCTTGCGGGTTTCTCTCCGAACATGCGTTGTGTTCACACATGTGTTCTGAAAGCCTACCACGTCACACACAGCACGCACACACCAGCGAGCGGCAGATCTTCTTAAAGTTAATGCCTCATAATTGCCCTTGAACCTGGAATCTCCTTTCAACAGAGGAGCGACTGTCACATAAATCTAAAAGAGACTGCACAGCATTTTTCTGAAATCTGGCTCCTGATCGACCTACCCAGTGAGGCCACGTTTCCAAAATTCTCCAGCATGACTTCCTTGTACAGAGCTCTCTGGCCAGGGTCCAGCAGGAGGGCCTGCTCTTCTGTGAAATAGACGGCCACATCTTCAAACGTCACTAAAAGCTCCTGCAGGAACCAAGAGAAAGCATTTTTTTTTTACATTTCCCCTCTCTCTCAAAACTTGACCAGCACGGATGGACATCTGCTTTCCCGCGGGCCCAAGGGTGTTTATTTATTTATTTAATTTATACGCCGCCCACACTACCCAAAGGCCTCTGGGCGACTTACAACATTTAAAATACAATAAAAATTCAACATTTAAAATACAATTAAAATACATATAAAAATTGTATGTCGCAACCACGCGGCTGCTGAAGTTGAAATCATGTTAATGTTCCAGGTATAGGCGATTTTGGCAGGTTTCCAAGACCGAGAAATCAGACTTGCCAACAAAGCCGTGTTCAGCTCTTGGAGACCAGCCACAAAACAAGGGAAGCTGATATGCAAACGACAGGAAGTCAGAACAGCTCCATTGCTGGCCATCAGATGCTTTCAGCGGTTAAGGAATTTTCTCTTCCAGTGGTGGGCTATCTGTAATGTAAAGTTCACCTCTAAACTACTCTCTCCTGTCTCAGACTAGGCCAACTTCCTATAACCTCACGGCCCCCCAATGTGTTGGACTACAACAGCCATCATCCACAGCCTGCATGGGGCCATGTCAACAGAAGATTTCAAGGAGATTTAGACCTTAAGTAGTTAATGAATTAAGTCTCCCAAGGTGCCAGGTTTCTCCATCAGGTCTACAAGGGATGAAAACAATAACTGATTCATTCATTGTTCTATATGGCTTTTACCATCCCCTCAATTAATTCAAGATAGGGATGACTCTTCTACTCCCCATGTCTGTCCTCACAATAACCCTGTGAGGTAGGCGACAGTGAGTGGATCAAGATCAGTGGCAGCTGTCCCCGAGCTGACACCCACCATAGGACTGGACTACAACTCCCATTACTTCTGTCTCTTTGGAGCCTGCCAGGTTTGAATAATCCTGGATGCCATATTATGTTTGTCATTTATTCAGGGCACTTTCCACTATGTTAAAATATCACAAGTCCTGCTGGCTAGGAGGGTTCTGGGAGCTGTCCTCTAGAAAAAAGTTGCTTTTTTCAAACACTGGGCTCAAGGTCCACAGGTCCCACCTTTAAAGCCCCGCCCACTTTGGAAACGCTATCTACTTGGTGGTGGCCCCTTCCACTTTGGGAACTCCACCCACTTGGCCTGTGGCCCCACCCACTGTTAGAATGCCACGCCCCCAACACGTCTGAATTAAAGTAACGCCGTCTTCAATCGGAGAAATGTTTCCCTTCCAAGGGGGTTGAGGCTGGGCTGGGGAGCTGAGCCTCAGCAGAAGCCCAAAGTACAAAAGAAGATGGCCGGGTCGGCCTACCCCGCAGGGCAGGCGGGCGATTCTGTTTACCCAGATCACCAGGAGTTCCACGAGAATTTCGTACCTCTGCTGGTTCCCATGAAGCTCCTCCCTTCCCCCTGGAACAAGGCGACGAGGTAGACTTGGGTGGAAACGCCATTGTGCCCTCTCTGGGGCTAAAAAAAAAAGTCAAGAAGAAATATTAGAAACAAGAAACTATAATAATAAGAGTGAATCTGGTTGTAGGCAACCTAGTCAGTTTTACGTTCAGGTGAAGATTTGCACCTGGATCTCCCAAGGTCTAAGCTAACACACAGGACAATACACCCTTTTCGCTATGTCTTGGAAACAATGGCTGGTTTAAGATTTTCTCGAGTTGAAGATCAGATGACCGAACGGTACCGTCCAGCATTTCCCAAAGGAGCACCCTCTTCATGGGTTCGATTATGACTCCCATCAGCCTCACTGAAGTCAAGGTTCAACATGCCCCCTCTGCCAAAAGCAGTCTTATTATTTTGGTACAGGATGCAGAAAATCCCAGAAGCATCTTTCACCATCCCTTCAAATCTTCCTCATGTATTGTCTGGTCAAATCTGACTTACGGCAACCCTTTTCAGGGTTTTCTAGGAAGACAATACAGTGGTACCTCGCTAAACGATGACCCCACTAAACAACTAATCTGCATGACGATGACTTTTTGCGATCGCTATAGCAATTTGCAAAACAGTCATTCCAATGGGGGATTTTTGCTGGACGTTGATTAGGTCTGTGCTTCGTGAACCGTTTGTTCACAAGGTGACGATTTTTTCGGCTCCGCAAACTGGCTGCCCTGTCTTTTCCGGACCCATGCTTCGCAGGTCAGCCATTTTTACAGCTGATCGGCGCTCGCAAAATGGCTTCCCTATGGGCGATCTTCGCTGGATGACGAGGTATTTTCCCCATTGGAACACATTAAACCAGGTTTCAATGCCTTCCAATGGGAAAAGGGTTTTCGCATGACAACGATTTCGCTAAACAGCGATTTTCCTAGGATGCATTATCGTTGTCATGGGGGGCACCACTGTACTCAGAAGTAGTTCCCCATCCCTTCTTCTGGGGATATTTCTGTGATTGTGCAGCTGGCCCAAGGCTACCCAGGCTGGCTGTTTTCCCAGGAGGCCTAGCGGAGGGGGAATCGAACTCCCAGCCTCTGGCTCCACAGCCAGAGACCTAAACCTAATATTCCGCCAGCTCTTTACATCTTACTGCTATATTAAATCACCATTTACGGCAGCCTCACTCAGCATAATGGGAGGGCTGGCCTGGTGGAACACTAAAGACTTATTTAAAAAATCCACTCAGTTTTTGGATTGCTTTAGAACTATTCTACACTCTGTTTTTATTTCACATTGTTATACACCGTTTGATCGGGGTTTTAATAACACACAATGGCTTTTGGTTATTGTCAACTGCTCTATACTGAGAAGGCACTATTAATCTAAAAATAAACATTAGTACATTGGTCCCTTCTGGGTCTCTTTCTTTCTCCTTCTCTGGGAACTGGAAATTCAAAATGTAAATTTAACAAATAAATAAGATGAATACTATAAAATGTACCTCCCTTTCACCCATTCACTTCTGTCACCAAAGAGTTCCAATGAAATAAAAGCGAGCCACATGATCTTTACACGTACAAATTCAGGAGCAGGTCTATAAAGGTATCTCTGACTCCCGCATTTGCATCATTAAATAAATTTTCTATGCTTCCTCTCCTCTTTTTTTAAAATGGTATTTTAGGACCCTAAAGCCTAAAAATAGATTTACTGTCTTTCAACCCCAGAGGAATCCAGGTAAGTTTTCTTTGCTTTACAGTAAGACATTTCTGATAAAATGGGACAGTCTGAATGCAGCCCAGTTTAGAGAGAATTTTGCCCTTTTGCCTTTACAGGCCAGGAAAAGGTTGCCAACTGACCAGGGGAAAAAAAAGAATGCCTGATGTTCCTCTTACACTTTCCAAAAGCAGCTTCTTGGGTCATTTTTTGGAAATCGGGAGGCAAGCTTTTTACAGCAAGGAAAGAATCATAATCAAATTGCAATAAATACAGGGAGGCAAGCTTTTTACAGCAAGGAAAGAATCATAATCAAATTGCAATAAATAAGTTTTTTTTTTTAAAAAAAGAACAAGCCATCAGCACCTTGTTGTCCAAAGCATAGGAGCAAGTGATGTTGGCAACCGTAACAAACAAAATAGTCCCTTCCATCTGGCTTTGGCTAAGCCTTCAATTTATACGCATCTCCAGACCTCTGATCACTCCCCAAACGAGCTGTAACCCTTTAATACCATCACCACCCCACTGGGAAGAAAACCGAATACTTGCCCAGTAGATGTCCCTTTGTGTTTCAGACCCTGCTTACACCAGGAGTCAGCCTGGTGGCCACAAAACCAAGCACTGCTGGGAGTTGTAGTTTTCCTGGGTTCTCCCTCTCTTTCCTCTGTGAAGCAAGGCCTTCTGGGAAACGTAGTGCAGGCTCTTCCTATGTATGCAGGCAGGGATGGGATGGTACCCATACAGGCTAGGAACCAGGGCAGGGCAGCTTTGTTTTTTGAAGACTACAACTCCCAGAATTCCCCAGGAAAGGCCTGATTACAGAAGAACTTTAACGTTGACAATGAAGACACTGAAATAATTTTTTGTATACCTTAATTAAATCATGCATCCAAAGGGAGATTGTAGCAGAAAAATCAAAAGAAGTTTGAGACTAGGAAAGACAGCAAGAAAGGAACTTTTAAAAAGACCATCAAATGGAAGGATGTTATCTCTGGGCATCAAGATAATGATAATCCACACAATCATATTTCCATTCAGTGAAAGCAGGATTCCATTCAGTATAGAAAGCAGACAGGGGAAAAATGTGCTGGAGAAGAGCTTTGCAGATACTTTAGACTGCCAGAAAGACAGACAAGTGGGTCTGAAATCAAATCCAGCCTGGAGGCAAAAATCTTGAAAATGAGGCTGTCTTACTTTGGGCACATCATGAGAAAGCAGAAAAGTGGAATACAGCAGGAAAAGAGGAAGACCGAATACAAGATGGACTGACTCCCTAAAGGAAACCACAAGGCTTGAGCTTACAAGAACTGAGCAGGGTTGTTGAGAGCAGAACATTTTGGAGATTATTCACTCATGGCATTGCCATAAGTCAGGATCGACTTGATGGCACATCACACACCCACACCCACACAAAAAAACACCCCAGAAGAAAATTCAATCTTTATTAGTGCAGAATCCAGATCAGATTCATATTTCCTTTTTGCTTTTTGCTGTCCCTTTTTGATGGAGCACATTATAATGGCTCCTGGAAAATATGCTCAATTTAGACACAGCCAGATTTAGGAAGTGTTTGGCCCCTCTGCCTCTACAGCCCAGCCTGTGTTGCCAACTGACCATCAAAGAAGACCCTGAATTTGCTCTTATGTATCAACAGCAGCTTGCACAGTTTTGGAAAACATGGGGCAAGCTCTCTTTTTTTGCCAGGAAATCACGGGGCAAGCTCTTAGGAAACCATAATAATTTCCTAAGTAATATTACATCATTAAAAGACAACATTTAAAGCTAAGAACAATGGGTATAAAGAGGCAGGTTACATCATTAAAAGATGATTATTAAAGCTGAAACAATAAGCATGCAAATAGAAGCCGAAGGGAACGGGTTTAAGAGCCTGCACTGGTATGAAAGAGCTTGCACTGGTGTTCAGCTAGTGGTGAAAATGTTTGCTCGGAGAGCCTGCGTAAGTTT